TCACCGGCCGCGCTCCCGCTCCCGCCGCCACCGCCGCTTCCGGGGCTGCCGCGCCGCGCGCCCCGTGACGTCACCGCGCCGCCGCGCCCACCAATCACCGCCCGGCGCGGAGGAAGGGGGCGCGGCCTCCGCGCGCCGACCAATCAGCGGGGGCGAGGCCTTGCCTAAAGAGTGACGCCTCTTTTGGCGGGTTCTCCTGCTCCACCCTCGTCCCTCATGACTCCCTGTGACGTCACACGGGGGCGTGACCGGGACGCAGCCTCGTGACGAGGGGCGGGGCCACAGCGATCCCTATAGCGGCTATAGGAGCCTGGCCCCGCCCCCGCGGGGCCATATGGGACCCCTCAGTCTCTGGGGGTCCCCCAGACCCCTGCGGGGCTCTGTGCCCCCCCTGCACGGCCCCATCGCCCCTTCAGCGCCTCCGGGTGCGCGCCAGGAGCCACAGACACACCGGGGCGGCTCCAGGGGACCCCAGGAGCTCCAGGGGACCCATGCAGGGTCCATAAGGACACCCACAAACCCTACAGAGGCTCTGAAGGGTCTATAGAGCACCCCCAGACTCACTGCAGGGGCAATAGAGACCCCAAGAAACCCCAGAGAGCCCCAAAACAGCCCCTGCAGTATCTATAGGGACCCTCAGGCTCCCCCCCAAATGGCCACAGGGAATTCCCAGCGGAGCCTTAGGGCCCAGCCCAGGGGCAGGGCTCCAGCCGGGGGCGGGGCCCGCGGCACTCAAAACCCCCCAGATCCCCTCTGTGCCCCACAACACCTGAGACCCCCCGGGACCCCCATGGCGCCTCCACCGCCCCCCGGCCACCTCAGCCTGGCCCGCGGGCTCCAGGTGAGAGGGGGACCCCGGTCCTGGGGGGGCCCAGCCCCGAGCCTGGGGGGCCGCGGGCATCCGGGGCGGGGTGGGGGCACGAGGGCGGCCGCGGCACTTCCTGCCCCCGGAAAGGGGAAGTGACACAAGGGACCCGGCCGTTCAGGGGGGACCCCAAGAGCTCGGGGGGCCCCGAGAGGTTGGGGGGGACGCGGGAGCTCCGGCAGCCCCCGTTTGGGGGGGCCGCAGGTGACCCCCTGCCTCCCCAGCCCCCCCTGTACCAGGACGCCGTCGCCCGCCGGGCCCTGCGGCCCACCCTGCTCAGGTGAGTGCTCGCAGCGGGGACAGGTGACCCGGGCAGGTGTCCCCTCCCTCGCCGCCCCTCCCCTGCCCTCCCCACAGGAGCGTTTCGGTGCCGGCCGAGCCCCCCGCGCCCCCCGCCATGGATGTCACCTACGCCGTGGTCAACAAGCCCCGCCGGGGGGGCGGGGCCGCGGGGAGAGGCCCCTCCCCTTTGGGAAGAGACCACGCCCCCTTCGGACGAGACTCCGCCCCCTCAGGCACGTGCTCGCTGCCGGGCAGCCCCGTGCGCCGCCCCTCCCCCAGCCCGGCAGGTGAGTGGGGGGGGTTGGGGGGGTTTGGGGGGGCTCAGGGGTCCCCAGGATCGATAATTCTGACCCTGGTTCGCCCCCCAGGCTCCCCCAGACCCACGGACGGCGCCTACGAGGTCGTGACGCCCCCCACTGACACTGGCAGCGGCCCCTGCCTGGGTGAGCATGGGGGTCCCTGCTGTCCTGGGGGGGGTCTCGGTGTCTGGAAGGGGGCTGGGGGGGTTTGCCGCAGGTGACCCCCTGCCTCCCCAGCCCCCCCTGTACCAGGACGCCGTCGCCCGCCGGGCCCTGCGGCCCACCCTGCTCAGGTGAGTGCTCGCAGCGGGGACAGGTGACCCGGGCAGGTGTCCCCCCCCTCGCCGCCCCTCCCCTGCCCCCCCCCACAGGAGCGTTTCGGTGCCGGCCGAGCCCCCCGCGCCCCCCGCCATGGATGTCACCTACGCCGTGGTCAACAAGCCCCGCCGGGGGGGCGGGGCCGCGGGGAGAGGCCCCTCCCCTTTGGGAAGAGACCACGCCCCCTTTGGACGAGACTCCGCCCCCTCGGGCACGTGCTCGCTGCCGGGCAGCCCCGTGCGCCGCCCCTCCCCCAGCCCGGCAGGTGAGTGGGGGGGGGGTTGGGGGGGCTCAGGGGTCCCCAAGATCGATAATTCTGACCCTGGTTCGCCCCCCAGGCTCCCCCAGACCCACGGACGGCGCCTACGAGGTCGTGACGCCCCCCACTGACACTGGCAGCGGCCCCTGCCTGGGTGAGCATGGGGGTCCCTGCTGTCCTGGGGGGGGTCTCGGTGTCTGGAAGGGGTCTGGGGGGGTTTCAGGGGGGACATCAATGTCCAGCCCCCCTCCTCACTGACCCCCTGCTCCTCCCTGCAGGGTTTAACTTCCGCATCGGGAAGCCCAAGGGCCCGCGGGACCCCCCGGCCGAGTGGTCCCGGGTGTGAGGGGGGGTCTGGATCCCTGGGCCCCCCCCACAGAGGAGGGGCCGCAGCAGAACCCGTCTGAACCTTACAGCACCCAATATAGACAAAAGTGATTTATTCTGACAAATAAAAACTGATTGTGAGAAACCCAGCCGTGCCTGGGGGAGTGCAGAGGGGTCTCAGCTGCCGAGGTGGTCTCAGGTGTGCAGGTGGGTCCCACCTGGGGGGGTCCCCAGGGGGGTCCTGGGGGGCTCAGGTGGCGCTGAGCAGGCGGCGCTTGGGGGCCGTGGCCGTGTACGGGTGCCAGCGCCACTCTACGTCGGCCGCGTCCCCCTGATCCAGGGTCCCCAGGCGGATCAGGTAGGCTGGAGGGGACACGGTGGGGGATTGTTGGGACATTTGGGGACACATGGGGACTCTTTTAGGGCTGGTGGGGACAGCAGGGGACACTCACGCCTCAGCTGGAAGCGGGGTCCCACCTCTTCCAGCTCCACCGTCCGCCCCCGGCGCCGGTACACGTGGTTCCTGTGGGGAGGGGGGAGTCAGAGGGGCCCTTGGTGGGGGTCTGTCCGTGTCCCCGTGTCCCCACGTGTCACCCACCGCACTAAAATGACGTCATCCTCGTTGGCGAAGGTCACCACGCGGCGGCTGTCGGGACGGGGAACGGGGAACAGGTGCTTCAGGATGGTCCCGACCTACGGGGGGACAGGGATGGGGACAGGATGGGGACAGGGATGGGGACAGGGATAGGGACAGGATGGGGACAGGGATGGGGACAGAGATGGGGACATGGATGGGGACAGGGATGGGGACAGGGATGGGGACAGAGATGGGGACAGGGATGGGGACAGAGATGGGGACACCCCATCCCTGGGGCCTCCCGTGTTCCTCCCCATTGTCCCCATTTCCTTCCCCATGTAACCCCCCGTATCCCCTCACATCCCCCCAAGTGTGTGTCTCCCTTTCCCCTCCCGTCCCTCATGTCCCCATTGTCCCCCCATGTCCCCAGTGTCCCCCCCCGGCCGTACCCTTTTTCCCAGAGTGGAATCCAGGCGCAGCAGCAGCAGGTGGGGGGCGGCCAGCGGGGCCCCCCCGAGCCCCCCGACCTCCTGGCGCAGCACGGCCCCGCTCAGGGTGAAGTGGGCAGTGGGGCCGTGGGGCAGGTGGGACACGGTCAGCCCATCTGGGAGGTGGGGCTTGATCAGGACACACCCACAATCAGGCCACACCCCCTTGGGATTAGCCCCACCCACTCCCTTGATGCCTCAGGATTTAGATTTTTTGTTTTTCAGATTCTGTGCTGCTTTAGTGTGTGGCTCTGAACTTTGTATTAAATGTAAACTCCCTGCACAGAGTAAGGAGACAATTCATTTTCTAGCTGGGGACCAAGGACAAATGTTCCAAATCTCAGGCTCAAGAGCATAAACAATTTGGATTGTAAAGAGAAAACCAAGAAAAATGGAGCTTCATAACCTAAAGCTGTGACTGGACAATTAACTCCAATATGCAAATGAACCAGAACTTACAAAAGTGGGAGACCTTGTGCCCACTTGTCCATTTTATAACATTTTGGTTCAGCGTGGGTGCCACCCTGGCTCTTGTGCTGCCCAAGGTGGATCCATTGAGGAAATCCTTTCAATGAATTATTAATTAACCATGCCTAGCTCTGTTCTAGCTCACCCTTCCCAAGGCATCCCCCCAGGTCCTCCCCTCCAAGCAGAGACCCCAGAAGGTGACCCCAGCCCCCCCAGGACCCCCGGGGCACTGACCGGGCCGCCCGCGGGTCTCGTGCAGCACCAGCAGGTCGGTGACCCCCGCGGCCCGGCACGCCGCCACCAGCGCGCCCAGCTCGGCACGGCCCCGGTTCATGCGGCGAGCGCCCGGCAGCAGCAGGCACAGCTCCTGGGGACGGGGACACGGGGTGGGCTCAGTGACAGCCCTGTCTGTGTCACCCCTTCACGCAGCGTCCCCCCACTGGTGGCACTGCAGTGTCCCCGTGTCCCCCAAATCACCTCCCCCATGACCCCCAAATAACCCCCCTGTGTCCCCCAAACTGTGTCCCCCAAATCATCCTCCCTGTGACCCCCAAACCACCCACCAATGTCCCCCAAATCACCCAACTCATGTCCCCCTCTGTCCCCCCAGCACAGGGTGACAGGGTGACAATCACAAACCCATCCCTGGCCACGCCCCTTCCCATATTTCAGGGTCACTAGAAGCCACACCCACAAAGACTCCTCCCATTCTTATGGCTTTTACTGCCCAGCACTGGCTCAGCCCCCAAGGGGTGGGGCCAAACAAACCCCTCCCCCTGCCCAGCCACACCCACACAAAGCCCCACCCCTGCTTGAGGCCACACCCCCAAGGGAGCAGTCACAGGGGTGGGGTCAGGGTGCTAAGGCTGGGCCACGCCCACCTCAGTCCCACCCACTTCAGGCCACACCCAAAACTGGCTCCACCCCCCCACTTGGGCCACACCCAAAACTGGCTCCACCCACTGATCTTAGGGCACACCCAAACTGGTCCCACCCACTCAAGAGCACCACACCCATCTTAGGCCACACCCAAACACAGCCCCACCCACCCCAGAGCCCCACCCATCTTAGACCACACCCAAACACAGCCCCACCCACCCAGGCCACACCCATCCCTGGCCACGCCCACCTTTGCAAAGAGCCTGAGGCGGGCGCTGGGGTCACGTGACGTTGTCACCATCACTTTGGGGGGCTCCAGCCCCGCCCACCTGTACTCGTCATCCTGGCTGTCACCGGTCTCTGGGGGCGGGGCTTTGTCAGGCCACGCCCCCTGCATTCCCAGCTCCGCCCACTGCAGCCACACCCACCCCGGGGTCGCTGGGGTCACGCAGTGAGTGGGTTCTGGGGGATTTTGGGGGGAAATGGGTTTAATTCCCATTTTGGGGGATTCACGGCTCACTGTGGGGGGAACCAGGCCCAGATTTGGGGTGCAGCCCAGGCTGTGGCCGTTGGTGCAACCCCACACTCACTTTGGGGTGAATTTAATCTCATCTGGGAGATTTAAAAACCCACACAGAATTTGAGGAGACTCCTAAAAACGAGGCCAGTCTCGTTTTTCAGGTCTTTTTTTTTGGCTGCCTCCCTCCTGTCCCTGGATTTCCCTCTCCCCATTTTGGGGTCCAGCTCATTCAAGGGTCTTGCCTGCCCCCCACCCCTGGGTTTGAAAGTTCCAATTTCCTCCAACTTGGGGGTCCCTCTCCCCATCTTTCCCCCTGATTTGGGGGTCCCTCTCCCCACCCTCCCCCCTGATTTGAGGGTCCCTCTACCCCGATTTGGGGTGCCTTGGTCCCAATTTGCAAGTCCCTCTCCCCACTCTCCCTTCCCAATTTGAGGGTCCCTCCCACCCCAATTTGGGGGCCCCTCCCCCCCGATTTGGGGGTCCCTCTCCCCAGATTTGGGGGTCCCTCTCCCCCGGTTTGGGGGTCCCTCTCCCCCGGTTTGGGGTCCCTCTCACCCCCCGGTGCCTGGAAGTCGAACTCGAGCTCCTTCTGCAGGGCCAGCGCCTCGTGCCGCAGCTCCGTGGGCAGCAGCCGATTCTCTGGGGGGGGGGAGAGAGAAACGGGGGGCTCAGACAGGACCCCCAACCCTCCCCATTCCAATACCCCAGCCCCAAATGACCCCCTGGGCCCGCAGCACCCCCATCTCCCCTTTTAACCCCTCTTTAACCCCCCAAATCCCTTAAATTCCTCTCTACCCCCCCCAGACTCTCCTCACCTCCTCCAAATCCCTTTTGCCGCCCCCAACCCCCTTTTCACACTCTCGGAATCTCTTCCAACACCCCTTAACTCTTCCCAAACCCCCTGTAACCCCCCCAAATTCCTCCCGGTCCCTCTCCACCCCTCTCGCTGCCCCTGTCCCCCCTCCCAGCCCCTCTCTCTCGCCCCCTCGCCGTGCCCCGGTACCGTCCAGCGCCCGCCGCAGGGTCTCCTTGCGCTCCCGCTGCCGCTGCTGCTGCTGCTCCCTGGCCCGGCGCTGCAGGTACTCCCGGCGCTCCCGGGCCTGGCGCCGCAGCTGCGACACGGGGACACACGCGGTGACACCGGCGGTGACACACGGGGAGGTCCGGTGTGGGGGAGATGGGGGAATGAGAGGATGTGGGACGCGGCGGGGGCGCTGAGGGGGCGGCGGCGAGGGATGGGGGACAGCGGGGATAGCGGGGGACAGCGGGGACACCGGGGTACCGGGGACATCGGGGGACAGCGGGGACATCGGGGGACAGCGGACACAGAGTGTGAGGGACGCGTGAGGGGGGATATGGGGGCGGTGGGTAGGGGGGAAGGCCCTCTGTGGGGGCCATGGAAATGAGAGGATGGGGGACACGGAGGGGACGCCGGAGATGCTATGGAGGGATGGAGGGGACACGGGGGGGACACGGGACCACCGAGCCAACCCCCCGCGCCCCTCACCATGGTCGCGGTCCCTCCGCGCCGCTCCTCACACGCCGGCACCTCCCAGCACTGATGCCTCCCATTGGCCGAGCGTCGGCGGACCAATGGGAGCGCGCGGTGCTGCGGAAGAGGAGAGGAAACACTATGCCCTCACTCAAGATGGCGGCCGGGTCGGCGTCACCCCGTTGCGCCGCCGGCCCTCACGCAGGCCCCGCCCACCAGGCTACCACGCGTGCTGATTGGTCGAAAGGTGCCGGGGCGAGCTGCAATTGGACGAGGCGGGGCCGGGCCTGAGACCGCGCTGAGGGCGGCGATGGACGGTGAGGGAGGGTCGGGGGCTCCGGAGGGTCTCCGGGGGTTGTTTTTAGGGCTCTCCGGGGGTTGTTTTTAGGGCTCTCCGGGGGAAACACTATGCCCTCACTCAAGATGGCGGCCGGGTCGGCGTCACCCCGCTGCGCCGCCGGCCCTCACGCAGGCCCCGCCCACCAGGCTACCACGCGTGCTGATTGGTCGAAAGGTGCCGGGGCGAGCTGCAATTGGACGAGGCGGGGCCGGGCCTGAGACCGCGCTGAGGGCGGCGATGGACGGTGAGGGAGGGTCGGGGGCACCGGGGGGGTCTCCGGGGGTTGTTTTTAGGGCTCTCCGGGGGTTGTTTTTAGGGCTCTCCGGGGTTTTTGGGGGGTTTCCAGAAGATAGGAAACGTTTTGGGGTGGTTTTGGGGCTCTCAGAGAGCCTGAGGGTTTTTTCAGCGGGTTTCCGGGGGTGCTTTGATGTGGTCTCTGAAGGCCCGGAGGTGTCTGGGGGTGTCCCCGGGGACACGCGTGACACCGGCGGACACGGGTGACACCGTGGGGACCCGGCCGATCCTGGGCGAGGGGGGGCTTTTGGTGGGTCTGGGGGAGCCCCTGGGGTCCCCCCGGCTGTCGCTGCGGGGTCCTGAGCCGTGTCCCCCCCCCGCCACCGCAGGGTCGCTGTCGCTGTCCCTGGACGCGGCCGCGCTGGAGGTGATGGAGGCGCTGGAGCTGCTGCAGCAGCGGCGGGAGCAGCTGGAGCAGCACCTGCGGCAGGTGAGGGGACACAGCGGGGACACAATGGAGACACGCCACCCCTCAGGGGGACACTTGTGAGGAGGTGCCACCCGCCACAGGGATGTGCCAACCCCATGGGGAGACACAGCTGGGGACTGTCCCCAGCTGTGGGGATGTGGCTGGGGACACACCACCCACCCTGGCACATACTGGAGGAACACGTCACCTACTGTGGGGACACACCACGGTGTCTCCTGTGTTTCCCCCCAGGTGACTGTCCCTAATGCCATGTTCCTCTGTCCCCTTCAATGTCCCCACAGGGGTGGCTGTCCCTGGCTCAGGCCCGTTACTCCCTGGGTTGTCACCGCGTCTCGTCCCTGCAGTACGGGGCCACCATGGTGCCCCGAGTCCGTGTGTGCCACAGGTGGGGGACATGAGGGGACAAGGACACTGGGGGGGACACGGGGACACTCAGTGGGGGGGTGGCAGGGCCACAGGGAGGGACATGAGGACATGGGGAACACACCGGAGGGGACACAGTGGGGTGTCCCCAGTTTGGGGAGGTGACACAGGGGTGACATCAATGTCCCCAATGTGAGGGGAGGTTTAGGAGTTCTGGGGGGGTGACTGAGGGGTGCTGGGATGTCCCTGTGGTGGCCAAGTGACACCAGGGCAGGGTGGTGACGCTGTCCCCAATGTGTCACCCCCAGGCAGGACCCGGAGGGATGCCCCCACTTTGAGGAGGTGCCTGGAACAGGGGGAGACCCCGAGGACCGCGACCCCCAGCAGGAGGGGGGTGACGGTGAGAGGGGGGCTGGAGGACGGACCCGGGGGGGTCCTGTGGGTGTGGGGGTCCCCAGTGGATGTTGGGGACAGATTGGGAGGTCTGGGGATGTCACCCATGGGTGCTGCGGAGGGGGGGGCCCTGTGGGTGCTGCGGGGTCCCTCAGTTGTTTACGGGGGGGTCTCTGACCTTTCTCTCTCCCCCAGGTCTGCGGCAGCGTCGGGGAGCCCCCGAAAAAGGGGGGACCCCCAGCCGGCCCCCCCCGGACCCCCTGGGCTGGTTTGGGGTCCTGGTGCCCCCCAGTCTGCGGCAGGCCCAGGGCAGCTTCCAGAGGGGTGAGGACTGGGGGAACTGGGGGGAACTGGGGATCCCCAAAAAACCAGCAAAGGTCCCCAAACCCAGAGGGGCCCAAGAATGGGGGGAAATGCCCCAAATCTGGGGTGTCCCCAGAACCGGGAAGGGCCCAAAGCTCACGGCCCCCGTGACCTCCTTGGTCCCCCCGGTGTCCCCCTGTCCCCAGGGGTGACGCTGGCCGTGGAGGTGGCCGAGCTCCAGGCCACCATGGAAGCTGCGGCCGCCCGGTACCGGCAACTCCTGCGGCAGAAACGTCACCTGGCCGGGGTCAGCGGGGACAGCCAGAGCCCCACTGGAACCCCTGGGGACAGCAAGGACACCGAGCGTGACACAGTGACCTCAGCGACTGCGTGAACGAACACCGAGGACACGTCTGCAGGTGACACACGGGAGCACAGGTGACACCGTGAGCCACGGGGACATAGGTGACACGGGGCTGTGCTGACCCTTCACAGGTGACACAGCTGCCACCAGTGACATGGAGGACAGCAGCACCTGCCTGTGGGTGACACCTGTCCCCAAGGGTGACACAGGACTTTGCAGGTGACACCGAGCTCCGCACAGGACTGAGGGGGGGTCCCCCCATGTCCCAGTCCCCAATAAAGCCACCCTGCTGCCACCATGGGGTCATTTATCACCGTTGTCTCGTGCCAGCTGTGCCAGTGCCACCATGGCCAATGCCCCTGCAGGGTCATTTGTCACTGCTGTCACACCCTGGCCATGCCAGTGACACTGCAGGCTCATTTGTCACCACTGTCCACAGCAGTGCCACCATAGGGTCAATTGTCACTGCTGTCACGTGCAGTGCCAGTGTCATGTGACTCAGACACGCCCCCTTTTTGCCAAGGTCTATGTTTATTGGGTGGGGCCCTTGCCCCGCCCCCAGACCCCGCCCCCCACCAGGGGGCGGGACCGACACAACAACGACTATGGGAGGGGGCGGGGCGTGATGGGGCGTGGCCTGTGCGGGGGCGTGGCCGGGCGAAGGGGCGTGGCCAGGTGCCCCCTAGCGGATGGTGTAGCGCACATAGGGCACCTCGATGTCGGCGTCGCTGTCGTCGTTGCAGCACAGCTCGAACACCAGGGCCTTGACGTGGCGGCCCAGCTTCTTCTTGGACACCCGCGTCACGATCTCTGTCATCCTGTGGGGACAGGGGACGTGGGGGACATGGCAGGGACAGGGGGCACTGTCATCCTTCAGGGACAGGGGACATGGCAGGGACAGGGGACATAGGGGACATGGCAGGGACGGGGGGCACTGTCATCCTTCAGGGACAGGGGACATGGCAGGGACAGGGGACATAGTCTCTGTCATCCTGTGGGGACAGGGGACGTGGGGGACATGGCAGGGACAGGGGGCACTGTCATCCTTCAGGGACAGGGGACATGGCAGGGACAGGGGACATAGGGGACGTGGCAGGGACGGGGCACTGTCATCCTGCGGGGACAGGGGACGTGGGGGACATGGCAGGGACATGGGGCACTGTCATCCTTCAGGGACAGGGGACATGGCAGGGACAGGGGGCACTGTCATCCTTCAGGGACAGGGGACATGGCAGGGACATGGGGCACTGTCATCCTTCAGGGACAGGGGACATGGCAGGGACATGGGTCATGGTCTCTGTCATCCTGCAGGGACATGTGGCATGGGTCATCCTGGGGGGACATGGCAAAGATGTGTCAGAACACGTGCCATGTTCTTTGTCATAGGAGGGTGACATGGCCAAGACACGTGGCAGAGGTCATTCTCTGGGGACAAGAGGGGACACAGGGAGTGCCAGGGCACACCCAAAGGGGATGGGCACACACAGGGAGGGGACATGGCCACCCCCTGTCCCCACCCTGGGACATGTCCCCCCCACCACAGGGCTGTGTTCCCCAGGACACATCCCTGCCGTGGGCTGTGCCCTTCCTCCTACCCTGCTGTCCTGTCCCTGCCCTGGACTCCACCCATGCCCCCAGTGTCCCCCAGTATCCTCAGTGCCCCCCATGTCCCCCAGTGTCCCCATGTCCCCAGTGTCCCTACGGTTGGTCGTGGCGCTCGCGCAGCTTGGCAGCCGGCATGAAGAAGGAGTAGAGCATGGACACGCCCTGGGACAGCATGGTGATCTCCAGCCGGTGCTCCTTCTGTGGGGACACGGGGACAGGGTCAGTGGGGCTCGGGGACAGCGGCCACCACGGGAACCCTGGGGCCCTGGGGACATCAGCCACCATGGGGCACCCACAGGAACCTCATGGCCTTGGGGACATGGACTACCACAGGGGTCAGCGAGGCTTGGGGACATTGGGCACCACGGGGGTCAGTGGGGCTTGGGGACATCGGCCACCACAGGAACCCCATGGCCTTGGGGACATGGGCCACCACAGGGGCTTGACCCTTCCCCAGTTCCCAGCACTCCTCTCTTGGTTGGGGTCCCTCAGTTGTCCCCTGCCCCCCTCCCAGTCCCTCCCAGTACCTTGAAGTAGGCGAGGAACTGGCGCAGGGTCATCTCCTGCCCGTCGGGCTGCAGCCCCTGCACCTCGAACCGGTCCCACAGCGTCCACTCCACCTCGTAGTACTGGGGACACGGTGGGGACGGTCAGAGCCACGGGGGGACCCCAAATCTGTGCTGGGAGTGACCCCTGGCCCCACTGTGACCCCAAATCTGTGCTGGGAGCAAAGCCCAGCCCCACTGCAACCCCAAATCTCTGCTGGAAGGGAAACGCAGCCCCACTGTGACCCCAAATCCCCTCTGGAAGAGAACCCCAGCCCCACTGTGACCCCAAATCCCCTCTGGAAGTGACCCCCAGCCCCACTGTGACCCCAAATTCCCTCTCTTGACCCTTCCCCAGTTCCCAGCACTCCTCTCTTGGTTGGGGTCCCTCAGTTGTCCCCTGCCCCCCTCCCAGTCCCTCCCAGTCCCTCCCAGTACCTTGAAGTAGGCGAGGAACTGGCGCAGGGTCATCTCCTGCCCGTCGGGCTGCAGCCCCTGCACCTCGAACCGGTCCCACAGCGTCCACTCCACCTCGTAGTACTGGGGACACGGTGGGGACGGTCAGAGCCACGGGGGGACCCCAAATCTGTGCTGGGAGTGACCCCTGGCCCCACTGTGACCCCAAATCTGTGCTGGGAGCAAAGCCCAGCCCCACTGCAACCCCAAATCTCTGCTGGAAGGGAACCGCAGCCCCACTGTGACCCCAAATCCCCTCTGGAAGTGACCCCCAGCCCCACTGTGACCCCAAATCCCCTCTGGAAGTGACCCCCAGCCCCACTGTGACCCCAAATTCCCTCTCCCTGCACCTCCAGCCCCACTATGATCCCAAATCCTCTTTGGAAGTGACCCCCAGCCCGCCCACTGTGACCCCAAATCCCCTCTGGAAAGGACCCCCAGCCCCACTATGACCCTAAATCCCTTTTCCCCACACCCCCAGCCCCACTATGACCCCAAATCCCCTCTTCCCACACCCCCAGCCCCACTGCGACCCCAAACCCCCTCCGGCCTTGCCCCCAGTGACCCCACCCCGCCGTGCCCTTGCCCCCCGGCCCTGGCAGTGCCCACCTTGTTGCGGGGGCAGGCGAGGGGCTCGGAGAAGCCCACGAAGGGCAGGGCCAGGTTGAGGAAGGCGTTTTTGTAGGAGCTCAGCCGGCGGTGCCCCTGCACCAGCTTGAAGAGCTCCAGGCACGCCAGGCCCACCACGGCCGCCGTGGTGGTGGCGATGGCCGGGATGATCTTCCCTGCGATCAGTTTGCTCTGGAAACACAAAAAAAGGGATTTAGGGTTTAGGGGATGGTCCCAAAAAACCAGCCTGAATGTCATCCCACAGAACCCCCAGGGCCTCACAGCCCCACTGTGGGGTGCGTATGAGCTCTGGGGGGTGGCCCCAAAAACCATCCTGAATGTCCCACAGAACCCGCAGGGCCTCACAGCCCCACTGTGGGGTGCGTATGAGCTCTGTGTGTGCCCCACAGCACCCCACAATAACCCCTGAAATACCCCAAAGCACCCCCCAGCACCCATAAAAACCCCACAGCACCCTGTAATAACCCCTGGAACACCCCAAAGCACCCCCTAGCACCCATAATAACCCCATAAAAACTCACCAGCACCCCATAACAACCCCCGTAACACCTCCCAGCACCCATAAAAACCCCACAGCACCCCACAATAACCCCTGAAATACCCCAAAGCACCCCCCAGCACCCATAAAAACCCCACAGCACCCCACAATAACCCCTGAAATACCCCAAAGCACCCCCCAGCACCCATAAAATTCATACAAACCCCACAACACCCCATAACAACCCCTATAACACCCCCCAGCACCCATAAAAACCAGACAGGTCCCTGCAGACCCTCACCCAATGTGGCATTAACAGCCCCCCAGTGCTCCCCCACTGCTCCCCCGTGTTCCCAACCCCTCCACCAGGGTGACATTAGCAGCCCCCAGCACTCCCAGTGCTCCCAACCTCTCATCTGCAGTGACACTGCTGCCCCCACAGTGTCCCCCAGTATCCTGCAGCCCCTCCCCAGTGCTCCCAGTGCCCTCCCAGTGCCCCCAGTATCCTGCAGCCCCTCCCCAGTGCTCCCAGTGCCCACCTTGTGGCGGTCGGCCGGGGGGATGTCGTAGTTCTCTGCCCGCAGGTTGGAGGCGGCCACGATGAAATCCATGTGGAAATTGGTGTCATCGTCCTGGGGACAGCCAGGGAGGGGTGAGGGCACCCAGGTGGGCAGGGGGCACCCAGAGGTGGGTGGGGGGCACTCAGGGGGGCAGCACCCACCTTCTCAAAGTCGATGGGGAACATCCGGAACCCCGGGAGCTCCTCGGGGCTGGGCAGCGACGCCTTCAGCTCCTCCAGGCGCCCGTCATCTGTGGGGAGGGAGGGAGGGGCACATGTATGTGAGACCCCTGCACCCCACGGCACCTGTGGGACCCCCCCGGCACCCCCACGGCACCCGTGGGGACCGAGGCGGCCACGATGAAATCCATGTGGAAATTGGTGTCATCGTCCTGGGGACAGCCGGGGAGGGGTGAGGGCACCCAGGTGGGGCACCCAGAGGTGGGTGGGGGGCACTCAGGGGGGCAGCACCCACCTTCTCAAAGTCGATGGGGAACATCCGGAACCCCGGGAGCTCCTCGGGGCTGGGCAGCGACGCCTTCAGCTCCTCCAGGCGCCCGTCATCTGTGGGGAGGGAGGGAGGGAGGGGCACATGTGAGACCCCTGCACCCCACGGCACCTGTGGGACCCCCCTGGCACCCCCACGGCACCTGTGGGGACCCCCAGCCTCTCACCCACAGTGGCATTCAAAGCCCCCCAGTGTGGCACTGGCAGCTCCCCAGTGTTCCCAGCCCCCTTTCCCAGTACCCCCCAGTTCTCCCAGTGCCCCCACAGCCCCTCTCTCAATGCCCCCAGCCCCTCACTCAGTGTTCTCAGTCCCCCCAGTAACCCCCAGCCTCTCAGTGCCCCCCAGTTCTCCCAGTGCCCCCAGGCCCTTTCCCAATGCCCCCCAGTACCCCCAGTCCCTCTCTCAGTGCCCCACAGGCTGTACCCAGCATGGCCCTGGCAGTCCCCAGTGCCCCCAGCCTCTCTCCCAGCGCCCCCAGCCCCTCTCCCAGTTCTCCCAGTGCCCCCAGCCCCTC